GAGCATCGCAGACATGATGTGGATTGAGATGCAGATGCCTGGCCAGATCGTGACTTTGGATGCTGCTCTTGGACACGTCAGCGGCAAGGCGAAAGCGAAGCTCCGTCTGCGTGTCGCGGTCGGACTCAGCGATGGCCAGATCCTGCTCTACGACAACATGTCATCGCTTTTCTCCAGTCAGCAGGATGCCGAGCAGCTCATTCCTCGGAAGCTGCACTGGCATCGCGAGGCAGTGAACTCGGTCAAGTTCTCTGCGGATGGCAACTACCTCATCTCGGGTGGCAAGGAAACTGTGTTAGTACTATGGCAGCTCGAGACGGGCAAGAAGCAGTTCCTGCCGCATCTGACATCCGAGATTAAGAGCATCGTGATCAGCCCGCGCGGTGATCGATATGCGATACAGATGGGCGACAACTCAATCATGGTCTTGTCCACCAGCGAGCTCAAGCCTATCGCAGTGTTCGCGGGCATACAGATGATCACTCGGCCTAGGGCAGCAGCGAAACACTCGCAAAGGGACTACACTCCTGCGGCGACACTGCATCCACAACAACCAGACCAACTGCTGCTGACCGTGCCATCCACGCAGCCAAAGACAGAAACCGACGTCTCTGCTCGACCCTTCCTACAGATCTTCGATTTAGCAAACTCGCGCCACATCTCACGCCAGGCGCTGACGCGGAACAATGTCACGGACTTCAACCTCGGACCTGACGGGACTGCCATCATCCCACCAGATGTCACTGATATAGCTATAACGCCCAACGGCCAATGGCTGGCTACTGTAGACGACTGGTACCCACCATCGGCTGACGTCGCGCATTGGGCTGGCGACAAGGAGCAGATAGACGAGGAGCAACGACGACGTCGTGAATCGTACTTGAAGTTCTGGCAGTGGGATGCACACCAGCAGCTCTGGTCTCTGACCACGCGCATCGACGGTCCACATACGCGCTCGTCTTCGGTGCTTCCTGGAACTGGTGAAGTGTTCGCTTTGAGCTCTGACCCGGCCGGCAACGCAGTCGCGACAGTCGGCGAAGACTCATGCGTGAAGATCTGGAGATCCAGGACCCGCGTGCGTCAGACAACTGCTACAAAGGGCAAGCCAGAAGCCATCAAGGAGACGGACTGGTACTGCAAAAGGTCCATTGAGCTTCCTCGCCAGATGCCCCGCCTAGACTCAGATGCGGCGGATCTCGACGATGAGACACTGCACTCGCCTTCGAAAGCAGTCATGGCTTACTCTCAGGATGGCTCACTCATAGCAGTCTGCTTGAGATATGACAGAGTCATGGCGGCGCCTGTGGTACATCTCATAGACGCATTCAGCGGCGAGATCAAGTCGAGCAACGCTTCACTCATCACCGGGATACCATTGAATCTAGCTTTCTTGGGCCGCTACATAGTTGCTTTGTCCACTAAGGTTATGAGAGTTTGGGATCTTGTGGAGGATAGATTGCAATACAACGTCGCGATCTACGGGAGTGAGATCTTGTTGCAGCCGTTGATGGCTGTCAACACGGAGGAGAAGACAATCGCCTTGTTCACGCCGGCCGTGAAACTCGGAAAGAACGACAAGAAACATAAAGATGACGCTCCGATGCAGGTCCGCGTGTACAGCGTAACTGACAACATCCCAATCGGCGCCGCTGTAACCCTTGAAACTGGCCTGGTATCACTTCTAGCTGCTGGCAAGGGGCGGCGTGGATATGTCTTGATCGGAGTAGATGCTTCAATTCGATTTCTCACGGGACAACGTACAGGTGCAAAAGCTGAGATAGTGTACGCCGGAGCACAAGACCAGGCACTGGAACGTTCTGTGAGAGACGTGCCCAATCTCGTGGCTGCTGTTACGAATGGCGCGGAAGCTGTGGATGAGGAGGCTGGGGCTGAGGATGACAGGCCGGTGATTAGGCCCGAGGAGCTAGCTAGGGTCTTGGAAGAGGCAGGATCTGTCAGAGATATGTGGAGGGCTGTTGCTGCTCTCTGCGGGAGGCCGCCTCACAAGGCACAGGCACCTGGAATCAATGTTGAGAGCACAGGGGCTGTGATTGACGCCATGGAGATCGACTCGGACGAGGCGAGTGACTAGACGAGACTGCATGTACATTAGACTGTACATCATTCTCCCTCCGCGAATGTAGATTTGTCTGCTGCTAGTACCATGTCACTCACAACAGCAATGCGATGTGTCGGTGAGAGTCAAGTGTGAGCACGCCGACGTTCAACTGAAGCAATAACATCTTACTATTCAGCACCGCTCTTGTGCTAGCCCAACGCGGTCTAGCGATCACTGGTAGCCTTTGATCATTGCGTAGTCCTAGTCATCACGTCCAGTACCTCTTGCCGTTGAAGTCGGGTCTTTCAGACTGTCCGTCGCTACACCATATCCGTCAGCTTGTCGCCCGTGGTGTGAGAGTGCCAGGTTCACGCTGTACCCTCAAGATGAAACAGCACATTCGACTGGTAGTTCTTGAACATTTGCGCCACAAGCTCGACGTTCATGTTTTGTACGTTGATTTCCTGGGGCGTACAGGTCAGTCTACAACAGAGGCAGGAGGCACTTCGGGTAGAGGTTACTTGGAGAGATTTGTTCAGCACCATGACGGCTTCGTTGAGCTTTTCCTGGGCGGCTGTCAGAGCTGGGTAGGGTCTGGAGAGGCTTCAGGATGAGGGTGAACATACGACATTGGTGATTATGCGCGAGAGGAGGAGGGACTGTTGGTGCTCGTGGGGACTCTCCTGTAGGATGGTCAGGGAGATTCTTCGGCATCATGCGCAGTGTTACTTACCATTGCGCCGCCGTCGCGCTTGAGCAGTATCGTGCTACTTGAGGTGATGCATGTGTTTTTGATGCAATGCGCTGGCCTCGTTCGTTGTCGCGTCAAACGCGTCGATCGTGAACTCCGCACTTTGACATCACCAACTCCGCACAACCAATCGTGATAAAGAAGGGGATACGTCGGCTCCACTGTAGCTAGATGATCGTATCTATGAGCTGTGCAAATACACGAAGAGACGAAATTCTACAACGAGAGTATTTCTAAACGTTTATGACCTGATACCTCAAGTCCACTTCAGACGCAGCGTCGTTGACGCTCGTACTCAATCAGATTAGGACAAGTCTCAAAGGTGACTTCTGGGTATCTCTGGCGGATTTTGCACGAAGAAAGAACGCAGTGTCTCGAGATCCATGCCCTCCAACCTCTCGCGAGACAACGCAAATTGTTCGGTCGGGAAGTACTCATCAATCGTCTCCTGTGGCTGACCAGTTATCATGTCTGCAAGTGCTCGTCCCGATTGCCAGCAATGGACCATCCCATAGCCACTGAAGCCTGCAGCGATCCATTCGCTGCCAGTAGCGCAAATGCTCAGCTTCGTAGGAGTGAGCTCTTGCGGGACCTTGCCCACGAGAGGGAACGCATCGGGTGTGAACCCCATGACGCCTGTCCAGGCCTCCTTCAAAGTCGTACCTTCGCCAGCCTCGAAGTGTTTCGGCAGTATAGTGCAAAGGTGAGCTAGCCCCGGCTTATTCAGGACAGAGTCATCAGTGACGCCAAGCTCTACTACGCCCACTTCCTTGGCTTGCTGTGCGCCGCCACCCAGGAACACTAGACCTTCAGCATCTCCCGCCTGGGTCATGTAGTCGAAGCCACCACCAGGCCAGCACAGAGACCAGCTGTATGAGTGACCAAGTCTGGGCAATCCGCTTGAGGGTGTTTGAGCTGACATTTGTCCTCTCACTGGGATGATCTTATTTGCCAGAGCTGGGAGAAGGTGTGATGCGTGACCATTGGTACAGTGAACGACGTGTTGAGCGCGGATCGTGCCTCGAGACGTACGGACCAGGTAAGGAAGTGACGAATCATCACTGACCGAGATGCCCAGGACCGGTGTCTGCGCCTCGAGCGCAAATGACTTGTGTTTCGAGAGCAGGCGTTCGAGTGCTCCAGTGATGAGCCGATATGGCCAGAGTGCTGCTGCGGGTGACGCGATGATCCCATATGCTCCTGGCATGTCATGTTTCTGCAGTTAATATCAGCATGGACTTCGTTATGGTGGAACACTGGTAGTGTACAATATACCTCATGTGCTTCCTGACCGTCAATGATCGAATACTGATCCTGCCACCCCGGGAAGTCCTCAAGCAGAGCCTCCAAGCCATCCTTGAACTCCTCGAAGATGCCCTGATCATACACTGCCGTCAAGCTCTGCACATCCCTGAACTGCGCGTCCCCAAAGCCCTCATCGTAGACCTCACGCGCCAATCGACGAGTCGCATCAACGTGACTACGTCTGAACCTCACGAGCCTCATCGCTGCATCTCTCCCAATCCGCTCCCTCGTCTGACGATACGTCTTGAACGAGACATCTTTGCAATGTCCCCCGTTTCGGCCTGTTGCGCCGGACGTGATCGTTCTGGCCTCTAAGATGACCACTTTGAGGTCGGGACTCCGCTGTAGTAGATGGTACGCAACGCTAGTGCCAGTGATGCCAGATCCTATGATGACTACTGAGGCCTCCGTGGGTAGCTGTGGTGATTGATGCGAGGCGAGGGCGTGGGCAGGACATTGCCAGTACGATTCCGTGGGTGCAGGGTGTGGCAATCCTGGGTCAGTGATGAATCCGTCTCCTGCCATGTCAAAGATGAATGGGACGTCACAGTGCCTGCTGCTCAACGCCTTGACAATTACCTATGCGTGGACCGTGTAGAATCCCACCGAGTGATGATAGTCTCACGCAACTTGACAGCTGACCTGCAGATCTCGACCACTTGAGATGCAACACTGTAAGATCGCGGGCATAGCTCCCTTGCTTGCTGGCACTGAGGCATAGGTCGTCGCTAACTCAGTCGATAGATTTAACGAAGACCGTCATTGTCCTGTGAGGATCTTGTCTGCGTTACACGCCCTGAGGGCTGTACGACGCCTTCCGAGCTTTGTTCCGAGCAACTTAGATCTTAAGCCATGAAGAGTAAAGCCGGCTTTTCACACATCGACGGGCAATTGGCGCAGTGGTAGCGCGTCCGCTTTGCATGCGGAAGGTCTAGGTTTCGATCACCTAATTGTCCACCATTGTTTTGGCCGTTCCAGACTGTACATTGTCAAGGATCGATGCTCCGACATACCGTCGTGATGCTGGCTTTTTGTCTTTTCGAGGAAGTTGCGCCTGGCGTCTGCACACAAGGCAGGTACGGACAAACGCTTGGCGAAGACTTCAAACATGATGCGAAACACCGAGGACGCAGATCATGGACCGCACTCATGGTCAAATCATATCTAATGTTTGCCACATTGGTGTGATGGTGCAATTGATGCCTCTAAGACTGAGTCATCGTAGTTCCTTAAGTACGAAGCAAAAGACCAGACGCCATCGCTAAAGCACCTTTGACCCCTCAACTGCTGCATCGTCGACAAAGGGAACTGAACGCCATGGGCTGAAATCTAGGATCCAGAAGCTTACCGCCGAAAAAGCATCCCGTGCTACATCGATCTCGCCGCATGTCGTCCACGGCTTCACCCTCCCTCTAACACCCCAACCGTGCTCCGCCTCATCTGGCCCATGCCACTAACACCTCGTCCGCACTCGACGACCCTAGGCCGCAGGGGCTGCGTGGCCACAAAGTCCGCATCTTGCACTCGTCTTCTCGCCTTGGAGACACTGACTTGCCTTGCCACGCTGACTTGCACGATATGACTGTCCGGCATTAAATGCCGAGGCTTCGGGTTCGAAATCGTACTGTGCGAGGCGAGAGGATTAGGATGAGGCTGAGTGTGTGATGGAGGAGTGAGCATGTCCCAGCTCGGCTCCTGGGGTTCCATCCCTGGCAGAGGCTTCGACACGGCATGTATGGGGATCGGCGAGCCCAGACTGGTCGAAGCCACCGTCGTGGGCGTTGCGGGTAGCGAGGCGTAGGCTGTCGAGAGGGAATCTGCGGAAGGCGCATGAATGTGGGAAGCAGGAGCGAAGCGGGCTGTGAGGGGCGATGAAGCGGCCATTGGGGCTGTCTTCGAGCGTTGGAGGGGCCGCGCGCGGTTTGTGATCGAGAGCGATTCAGCAACTGCGTCTTTCTGTAAATGTGCTGCGGCAGGCAGTATCGCAATATCGTTACTGGGGACCACAGGCGGCGTGTGAAGCTTGTGTGGCGACGTACGGCTTCGCTGTAGTATGGTCGGAGCGTTCTCATCATGTACCTGCAACTTCGTCGAGTTCAGCCTCTTCAACTTGTCCTGCCGCTTGCTTTGTCGTCGCTCCAACAGTGACACCTTCGGCTCCAGCAACTTCTCAAACATGACGCTGTATCGCTCAAACTCCGAGTTGGGTATGGCCGTGTCCAGCTTTGGTGTATGTTTTTGCGCACCAGGCGCATGTAGATTGTGACGCGAAGGTGGAGATGTAGCGAACATGTCCTCGGAGCTACGGAGAAGAGGAGTCTTCGGATAGACCCCAGACTTGGGCGGTGTCATGATGCTAGCACGTGCCTGGTAGGCTGCGGGCGTGTGCTGCACTTTGCTATCGATGTTAGACATGAAGGCAGCGCGGTCAGCTTCTGCGCGTGCCTCGAATCGAGCGAGACCTCGGTTCAGGGATGGAGTCCTCGAGTGATGGGAGGCAATCGAGCCTGGTGTAGCCACTGCTGCGGGCGATGATGCAGCAGAGTCAAGGACGCCGACTCGAGCGCGAGACTGATCTGTGGAAGGCTTCGCTGCCGGCTCACTACTGCCCGCCTGTACTTTGTAGAATGGTTCCGACGAGGTCTTGAATGCCGACTTGCTTCGGAAAAGTCCACCGAGAGTCTTCCACGCTGATTTCGACTTCTTCAATTGTGGTTTCTGTCGTGCTTCTCCCATGACTTCCCAAGCTTGTGCGTAGTCCGGTAGGGCCTGCGGCACGGCCCTGCGTTTCGGTACAGCGTCGATAGTATGTGACCGCTGCCACTGAGGTGGCGCAGCTGTCGGTGAGCCTAAAGCAACACCAATGGGCGCCGTCATCTTCTCTGGCACAAGAGGAGAAGACTCTGCCTGGAACGTCCCACTCTTCCTCGGTAGTCGCGGTGACGGCGTAGGGAAGCGGAACGTGTCAGCGCCAGCTCGCACATCCATAGTCTCCACGGGTAGGCGAAGTGATTGAGGGAGATCAGGTAGGTCTGCGGCTTGTGGGCGGAAGAAGCTTGGCCTCGAGTCAGCCGTATTCGGACGCGGGCGTGTCTCCAGCGCGCCCGTTGTCTTCGAGCGGGATGTTACTGCAGGTCTTTCGAAGGCAGCAACGACGGCAATATGCGAGATCGAAGCACGCTTTGAAGCCTTTCGCTTGAGCTTTGCAGAAGTCGAGACCGGCTGTGAGCTTCTGGCTTCTTGGGCGTCGGAGTTTTCCACTTCAATTGCTCTCTTCGATTTCGAGCGAGCCAGCATCTTCAGACCAGCCATGATGATGTGCAGCACTCCTTATATGCAATCGCGAGGTTCACGACCCGCGCGAGCCTTGCATGAGCGAGTTGTAGTAGCGGTATGCACAACGAGAAGCCAGACAGTGCGGGAGAATATCAATATAGTGCCGTGAGATTGATGTGGCGCTCGGCTCGTCTACCTGAATGACCACGCCGGGCAATCGGGATAAATGTCGCGTGTCGTGAAAGGTAGACAAATATGCGAAGGAGTGAACGACACGGCCGAGCGTGTCGGATGCAAAGTGCTCACGCGCAGCGTCAGCCAACACGATGGTACGGTGTGGAAGTAAGCCTGTTCGCAGAAGATGAAAGGATGCACTCAAGCGCTGCGTCAGCAATCCCCTCCGGCGGGACCTGTGGCCAGGGTGCAAGGTTAGATGCGAGGACTATGCCGCGACTTCCAGATGAATTGCTAGATCCTGCGATTGCGTGTGATGTGCTCGAGAGTAGATGTAAGTAAGGACGAACACCTACCTTCGCACAGCATCAATACCACCCGACCTACCTTGTGCTAGCCAGCCAGATGTCAAGGCTCCATCGCACGAGCTGCCATCATCCGCGCGGTCCAGCCCACCGCCATCTCACGGCATGTGCAGGGCGACAAATGATCGCCATCCAGCATCAGGCGGGCACACGCATCAATTCGTTGTTTCGTGATGATCCGTGGCCGGGTGGTGATTAGTTCAATCTCATGTGTGCAGTCGCTGCAGCCAGTCAGAAGCGAGACTGGGTCGACTAGCGCGTTTGATGTAAGTAGAGTTGGACCACCGAGCGGAACGAATCCTGACAGGGCTGGGTAGTGCGCACGTGACCATAGTCTGTTGAGGACATGTCGAGAGCACAAGTTTGTTGGTATCCAACTGTCTGGCGCGCTGCATTACAGCGCCAATTTGAGCGCTGAACATGGGGAATCGGCCTATGCTGGTCATAGTGCGTCAACAGCAACATACGGTATCACACAAACTCATGTGATGCACTTTGACGGATAGAAAAACGATACAACATAGTATGTGACGACGATGTGGCCAGAGCTAGTACCTGGGGTCATCAGAGATGTGGTGAAGGTGAAGGTGAAGGGCTACATCTGTCGTTCTGGACTGAGGACAGATGCGTCGCCAGATGCTAGCGCCGGCTACTCCCTGCCAATTGGCGATCTTCTTGCATCTGACTGCACCTTGGACAGCTTGCTGAAAGCAGTGGAAATGGCATATTTGAAAGTGCGCCCCAAGTCTACAGCTGTCACAATCCATTCAGTCCAGTCATTACATACAAGTTGATACGCAGGACCGCAAATTGACACATCAAGATAGAATTGCGCCTATCTGGAATTGGTCCACTTCCTCTGATCACGACCACCTACGATCCGCACCATGGCGAACTACGGCTACCAACCTCCCGATCCCAATCAGCCTCCCTACAACGCAGCCCAAAATAATCTCAACTTCTACCAATCCTCATATCCTCAAAACCCCGTCTCCGGCCACAGCACACCCTTCCAGGCGCAGTACCCTAACTCAGCACAATCACAATCATACCCTTCGTCAGGCTACGCTTCCTCGTCAGCGAACTACGGGTTTGGAGCTTTTCCTGGGCAGGCGGGAGTGAGTGGGCAAATGGGCACAGGCCAGGGAGGGCTAAGAACGGGTTGGCTGGCGGCATTTGGCACAGAAGGATATGAGGGAGAACCGCCGCTCTTGGAGGAGCTAGGGGTGAACTTCGTGCACATTCAGACGAAGGTAGGCAATCTATGGAGAATACTGCTGCTCGTATGCTGATCAGTATGTAGACGCTCACAGTACTCAACCCTATGGCACGGATGGACCAACACATCATGGACGACGCAGATTTGGCAGGGCCATTCCTGTTCTGCGTGCTCTTCGGCACATTCCTCTTACTCGTATGCATAGCTCCTCGAACATGTATGAGGCACTTCTGACAGCTTCTCAGTCCGGCAAACTCTGGTTTGGCTACGTCTGTGGCCTCGCAGTCCTCGGCGCCCTCGCGCTAAACCTCATCTTTTCGATGATGTCCCCACCCCTCTCACGAGACGAGATGAACCAAGCGCAAGACGCCCACAGCAGTGCGTACGGATCTGCGCAGCTCTCGTCAACCCTCACAATCGGCCGCTCCTCATCAGTACTCGGCTACTGCCTCCTCCCACTGGTGTTCGCATCACTCATCGGAGTAATCTTACCACTAGACTCGCTCGCAGGCTATGTGATCGTCAGTCTAGCGATCTCATGGTGTACATACTCGAGCTCGGGCATGTTCTGCACCGTCGGCCGGATGACAGATATGCGAGGCTTGGTGGCGTACCCGCTAGCGCTTTTCTACGTCGGCTTCGGCATCATGGCGATTTTCAGCAGTCGTGGGACTGGGAGGCTAGAAGCCATGAAAGCCACTCCATAGCAGCATTGTCGCTATAAACCAACAGGCAGCACATTAGCCTCCTGGCACATCCATTCCACGCCAGAAACCTCGAGCTCGCGATCCTGCTTGAACGTCCCGCCAGTCTGCAACACCTTGATGATGTCTTCACAGGGCAGGTGCAAATCCCCTGTTTGCGCAATACGCTGCCAATACCCTCTCGCGCTTCTCTCCCATCTCTCAGCCCCTACGTGGTCA